TGTAGAACATTAAATCCAAAAATAAATAAATGCCCTTAAGAACTTACAAATTCCAAGACTTAAGCCTAGATACACAAAAATGGTCTCTCGAATCCATAGAAACTATAGCCCTTGGCTAGCAAAAATACATCACAACAAAAGACGAGCCATATGCCCTCAACAAATATGTTCACACCCTAATTCGGCGGAATTGCCACATCCTTTCTTGCACCAAAATCCCATAGAGGTGAGCATAAAGCCTAGTAGGAAAATTCTTAACAAAGTATATATATTTTATACAAGCTTTACCAAATGAAATGCACATGCCATGCTATGCTTTTAAAAAGAAGATCACATTTTCATCTTGTGAAAACCACCATACTCAATGATAACTTGAAATCTTGACAATTCAAAAATTAACAATTTAGTTCAAAGGGGCCGTAAAGACGATCCAGGTAATTCCTAGGTTGGTGTCTGCAAGTAGGCATAATTAGCACTACTCAATCTCCACTTTAACGGTAGCTAACCGGAAGGCACATGATACCTCCTCCGCCCGTGTTTTCGGTCTTTCACCCCGGACACTCAAGCCAACTTAATCAATTTCATCTACATCTCCTATCCGGACTTACCAACGTATTTACCCCAAGACATTTCAATAAATCTCATTTCACAATATTTTTTTCTCAATGCAAAGTTTCAAATCGCAATTCAATATTCATAACATGCAAGGTTTTGAAATGCCAATGCAACAATTATCTATGCCACATAATATTTCTCCACTTTCAAATATCTCTAACAAATATTCCGTAATAATCAAAATTCTCATTTCTCCTTTCAATGCCATTTCACAAAATAGTCAAATATTCATTACAATTCATCAATATATAGCAATATTTCTATAATTCATACATTCCCAACATTTTAGTCATTTCAAGACTATAGCAATATTTGGGCAACAACTTCCAATCTCAACAATTCTCATATGTTATGAAACCCATCCTCTATATATGTATTTGTATAAAATCAAGAAATTTTCCATCTTCTTTACTCATCTTGGCACATAAAATATATAAATATATATATATATATACATACAATATCAACCATGTGTTCTCAATTTCCCTCTTTTAAGAACCCCCAAATTTCTAGGTTTTTCTCTCCACAACAACACACACACACAAACATTTGAGAGAAACTCTAAAAAGAGAACATCATCCCTCACCCAATGTAGTTCAAACCCTTAAGAGATTGTTTAAAAGAAACAAGGATAATCCCAATTTTGAAATCACTCACATTCTTAAGCCAACACTCAAATTTCAAAGCTATCAAAAAAGGATTCGAAATTTAACCAAATCTTGCAAAAACATATATATAACTCTAAGAAAATCCCTACCTCAAGTTCTTGAAAGAAAAAGAGATGAAAGCTCCAAATCCAACGGTGTTGAAATTTGATCTCCGCCGCACACAAAGTAGCCCTCGAAAAGTTCTTCAACTTTGATGAAAGAACTATGGGCAAAACTCTAATGGATTTAAAGAAATCAAGGTTTTGATCTTGTTTGGTGTAGGAAATGTAGAGAGAAGTGAGAGAAAAGGGTTTGTAGAGAGAGAGAGAGTGATACAAAAAGTGATAGACACACAGCCCAAGAAGGAAAGAAAAAGCTACTCGGACATCAGCGGCTTCTGCACGTACATCATATGAGTTATTAATGTATAAAAAGGTTTTGTTCTTGCCATTTATACACAAGGTCATTGGAAAATTTTATAATTCTGCTTCTGTTGCTGGCTCCATATAATTTGATTTCTGTCTGAGGCCGTAAGTAATCTCATGATTACTGACCGATTATAATCCAAACCTCTAGGGACGAGTTCGAGTCATGACACAAACCGTCGTCGTTGTCTTTCTTCTCTATCTCCAACCATCGCCATAGCATCCTTTCGCATCTTAGACCATCGTTGTCACCATCGTCTCACCGTTGTTTCTTCTTACATCCTCAACCATCACCGTCGCCTTCTCTCTTATTCGACCACCCTTTTTCTTTTTTGGTTTTTCCATTGACTCCATTGAAGTTTTGTTGAGTAGTAATTTGTTTATATTTCAATAGTAAGTTTATTCATAATAGTAGACTTTACTTATTAAATCGTACTCAATTAAATTGCACTTACTACTTCAGTACATTTTATTTAAATAGAAGCTTGTTGACTAATAAGTGGAGTCTAGTGAAATAGTAAATGAAGTGTAATGAAATAGAAAATAGAAGCTCATTGAGTAGTAAGTGAAGTGAAATAATAAGTAGAAGCTCTTTAAGTAGTAAGTGGAAACTTATTGAGTAGTAAGTGAAGTGTAATAAAGTAATAAGTGGAAGCTCATTGAGTAGTAAGTGGAGTTGAGTGAAATAAGTAACTGGAAGCTCACTAACTAGTAAGTAAAGTCTAGTGAAATAGTAAGTGAAAGCTTATTAAATAGTAGGTGGAGTCTTGTGAAGTAGTAAGTGGAAGCTCATTGAATAGTAAGTAAAACTAAAATTGAATAGTAAGTGAAGTGTAATAAAGTAACAAGTACAAACTCATTGAGTAGTAAGTCAAAACTCATTGAGTGGAGTCTAGTGAAGTAGTAAGTGGAAACTTATTGAGTAGTAAGTGAAGCATAATGAAGTAATAAATGGAAACTCATTGAGTAGTAAGTGGAATATAGTGGAATAGTAAGTGAAAACTCATTGAGTAGTAAGTGGAATATAGTGGAATAGTAAGTGAAAACTCTGAGGGGTGTTTTGGGAAGTTGTTAAAAGCTGACTTTTTAGCTTTTCTGACTTTTTGTGGCTTTTTTGTGTAAAAAAACTGGCTTTTGTGGCTTTTTTGTGACTTTTTTTGTGTAAAAAACTAAAAAGCCAAAAAACTAACTTTTGTTAAACATTCCCAAAACACCACTAAGTAAGTAAAGTGTAATGAAGTAATAAGTGAAAGCTCATACACAATAATGGATATTTTAACAAATTAGTAAATTTTAAGATATTTTAATAAATTAATATTTAGATATCATATTTTAGTTTTTACAAATCATAACAAAACAAAATATGGAGAGGAAATAGTTAAATATGGTGTGACATTAATTTTATGTATTTGAAATTAAATTAAAATGTAAAAGACAACACAATTGTCAAGACATGAAAGTGACGAACTTAGCTGGTAATATTTTAAATAGTAATTTTATTCATAACAAATAATAAATGAGTGAATACTAAATAGTAAGTATGTTTGTAACGAACGGTGAGTTAACATCATTTTTTTAGAGTGCTGTTATTAACACCCCATAAATTATTTTGAACTCCCAAATTTTTAGTTTTTTTTTTATTACAATAATAATATCACATAAAATTATTACAAAGGACATTATTAATTTTGAGACACCCTATCTCACAATTAAACATACACACCCACTACATCATGAATTAGAGTTTATGAGAGTACTCACATCCATCACCACATATCCAGCTTTCCCAAATCCCACCTTCAAAACCTACTCACCCTCAAAATCTTGAACACTTTTTGACAGCAATATTCCGGTGGTAACAGTGGCAACCATTTGATTACCTACATTTTTTCGGCTATGACAATGAGTAAAAAAATTTCTGACAACCACAACTCTATAAGACAGGAGAAGTATAACAATAAAAGTTTAAAGGAGGTTCATAACTTTGATGTTGTTCTTAGTTGAGATTGGCCTTGTAAGGATGAGTTTCTTGGAGAAAAAAATGACAAAAATAACAAAATATGTTTGTCATTTTTTTGGGACTGAACTCCCATACATATGACTGAAATTTGGGAACATAGGCCCGAACATTGTTTATTTGTTCGGAAACCGGTAATTGAACATTGATTTTGAATTTTTTGTGATCTGGGATGAGTCCAGAATGAAGAAAACTCAAAGAACTGAATCGTTTTAAGAACTGGGAATCAGAGATTTTAATTTTCAATAAGTGATTGTATGATAGGTTAAGATAAATAAGGTTGGTGACAACCATAGACAAGTTTTGTATTGGAACATCTCCTAAAAGATTATTGTGGCTCAAATCAAGAGTTCGGATTTGAAAACAATGAAAGATACTAGATGGGAAGTTGGTTAAATCGGCAGAGACAGTATATTTCTTCTTCTTCTTCTTCTTCTTCTCTTTCTTCTTCTTCTTCTTCGTGGGTTTTAAAAATGATGAGACTCTTCTTCTTAGTGAATTTTGTTAGGGTTTTTTGTAAGAGATTTTTTTTGGGGGTGTGCATTCAATGGTGGAATGTTTAAGGATAATTTTGGTATTATTTGAGGAGAGAAAATAAATTTTAAGAGTTTCAAAATTTATAAATAAGAATACAAAGAAATGGAGGGTCAAAAATAATTACAAAATTAACTAAAATTACTTTATTTTTAAAAAACCACTTTACTTTCTTTACTTAATTTTATTATCAACTCATCCAATAATTGGCATTCATCTTGTGTGAATCTAATGATATCTATCTATCTATGTGTGTGTATATATATATATATATATTTATGTATCGTACATAAAAAACACTACACTTTCCCTTATGGTGGAGAATTAGGATTCCTTTCTTAACTTCTCTCCTTAATTTCTTATTTGTTGGGCCATTGGGCCTGTTTTTGGACTCAATTTTTGATAATTCAAACTGTTCATATTTTAAAATTGATTGCGTACGTTATAGCTGTAAAAAATTAAATTGATCGAATATGAGAAAGTATGTGTTTAAAAAATTGTTTATTAAATTTTTTAAAAAATAATTTATAATTCGATAATCCGAACGTAATTTTTGATATCTGATTAATTTAATTTTTTTATAATATATGATATATTTAACAAATCTTAAATTATGAAAATTAGATCCAAGATGAGCCAAGAACCTAACAAGTAAAATGTTAAGGAGAAAAGTTAAGGAGGGGATCTGATTTTATGGTAGAATCTTCTTTTCAAAGAAGAGTTGACATAATGCAAGCAGAGAGAGAGAGAATATATCAGCAAAAGAAGATGCAGATACTTGAACAGCTTCTATTGAAACAAGCAGAATCGGAATATGGCTCACGAAATGGACCAAAATATATATATATATATATATATACTCCAGATTTTAGGAAATACAGAGATAGAATTGTGACGTAGGGCTTTGACGGCAAGCCGGCAAGAACAAAAACAGCAAAATTCTCCCACCAAAGACGTAATCAATCACCTTCGCATTCTCGTATAAGCCGAGAGAGACGAGACAACGGAGTGAGAGACAGACAAAAGAATGAGAGGCTGAGAGAAAGAGTAATGAGTGTGTTGATTAACCGGTTACTCCGGTTGCCGATTTTTCACTATTAAACAAGTGAATGGTTGCATTGCACACCTAAACACTACCCCACACCACACCATGTATTCCAGTCTGTCTGTGATGAAGAATCTGAGGAAGTAGCAAGCCAAGCCAAGCCAAGCCAAGGGAATACCCACCCCCATTGGGTTGGGTTGACTGGCAGGTAGTCCCCTCAAATTTCCATCTCTCTCTCTCTCTCCCTCTCTCTCTCTCTGCATGTAAACAAACCCAGAAGTCTCTGAAGATCTGTTTGGGTGGATAACACTCTGAAGATCCGTAGTGTTTAATCCCAGTCCCTTTGATTTCACAATGTAAAAGCCCCTCTCATGTTTGGGTTTCTCTCTTTCTCTGATCAAGACAGACATCTGGTTCTTGGGTTGTTGCCAACAGTTGCTGAAATCATTACTTGTTTTATTCTAAACCCTCCCAATTCGTTTATGAATGTTATAGTGCAATTCCTAATCACCTATTTTGGTGATCTTGCTGTTGTTGTTTGATTTATTTATGACCCAATTCTATAGCTTGCTTGGTGTTTTCATTTGATGCTTTTTTGTTCAAGAGAACCTTATCTGGAGCGTTTGATCATCTTGAATCTCAGAGGTTGTATATTCTCTTTTATATGATTTACTTGTAGTAAATTTATTGGTATTTTGCAACATCGAATTGATTATACATTTCTGGTTACTTGAATTTTCCTAGTTATTGTACCCAAGCTGGGGTTCAATACAATACTTCAAGTTCTATTCCAAGAAACCTATTTCCTGCCACTTGAATTTACCATATTCTCAGCAACCTTGTGAAAAATTTAACAACCCCATTTGAAATTCTCTCATCATGCATTGAAACCCTTTTTGAACCTCCTATTTCATTAATTGGAAATCATTTTTGTTGACTACTCTGATCTGCCATTCACTTAAAACCCATGCCTTTTTGTTTGCATTGATATTCTTAGATCTTAGGAGACAATGTCAATCATTTGTGGTCTTCCTCTCCTAGAGTGTGTTTACTGTTTGGCATGTGCCCGTTGGGCATGGAAACGATGCCTCCACTCAGCAGGCCATGACAGTGAAACTTGGGGCATTGCAACTGCTGAAGAATTCGAGCCTGTCCCAAGGCTCTGCCGATACATCCTGTCTGTGTACGAAGATGATCTTAGGCGCCCTGTTTGGGAACCTGTTGGAGGGTATGGAATTAACCCAGCTAGGGTAATTTTGAAAAGAACTTATAAAGATACCAATGGACGAGCTCCTCCTTACTTACTGTATCTTGATCATGATCATGCCGATATAATCCTTGCCATTAGGGGGCTTAATATGGCAAAGGAGAGTGATTATGCTGTTTTACTGGATAATAAACTGGGCCAAAGGAAATTTGATGGGGGGTATGTACACAATGGGCTACTAAAAGCAGCTGGATGGGTTTTGGATAAGGAGTGTGACATTTTGAAGGAATTAGTAGAGACATATCCAAATTATACTTTAACTTTTGCGGGCCATTCCCTTGGGTCAGGTGTGGCAGCATTATTGTCAATGGTGGTGGTGCAGAATCGTCATAGACTGGGGAATATTGACAGGAAGAGGGTCAGAAGCTATGCTATTGCACCTGCCAGATGTATGTCACTGAACTTGGCAGTGAGATATGCAGATATTATCAACTCGGTTGTGCTTCAGGCAAGTTCTTATTTTCTTGTTTAATGTTTGTGTTTTGGTTTTGGTATTTTAGACAACCAATCGGATGGATGTGAATCTTGTAAAGCCTTGGCAGCAATTTGATTTGTAATTGATATGCATCTCCATTGTGAAGCCCTAGATGCATTCTATTTGACTTCACATTGCCAATTCTAGCATTATTTTCTATTTTGTATGGAGAGAACTTTCAGCTTTGGCTTCTTATCTTATTTTTGTTTCTTGGTGATGTGTTTGTTGTTGGAATATTTTAATAAAAATAAAATAAAATATTTATTTCTTCAATCATTACAATTGATGAGCATTCGTTTTTATCTATTACAAAATAATTCTCCTTTATTGTTGTCCCCTTTTTACTTATTTGAGAATTCTCATCTTACTATATAGATATGCTTTACCATCCTTACCATCCATCAAGTTGAACACTAGACAGAAAAGAAAGAAGTGTTTGGGATATCAACATGGTTTGATAAAGTTTTTTATATATGCATATATTTTATTTATTTTGTGCAATTTTGGTTTGTGACTTGGTTCAAGCCTCCTAGTGGTCGTGAACACTAGATGGGGGATATTGTGAGCAAATTGGGTTTCATTATAGAATTACTTCACTCTGTCAACACCTTCATGAGGGGAGAAAAAGCAATTTTAGGATAATGACAACGCGACTCACAGACTTTTACAGATTATTATTCTCAACTCTATTTTAATTATGTTTATTTCATCTTTTCTCATCTTTGTTATTATTATATTCTGTTTATTGTATTGCTAGACTAATAATCTAAAATTACTTTTCTTTCTAACTTCTTAGTAAATCTAGCAAAGTGAAGTTGGTTCTAAATTTACTGCAATATTTTGTGTTATATAAGTTTTAATTCATTTGTGCAATTTTATTGTAGGAGTATCATAAAACTTAAAAATGGTTGCAGGCTGTCAAATGAGTTTCTGTTTTGGAAATTTAAACTGATAAAAAGAGGATAAGAGTAATATTTAATTTGAGTAGCTTGAATTGATTGACTAGAATTCTTTGAATGTTTTTCTTATGTTCACTATGGCATGTACACTTTCATAGTAGATGTTTGCTGTCAGGAATCTAGTAATCAGGGAAAGACACTTTCAGTTTATATGTTGCTTATATAAAAATTAAAACAGATTCGGTTTCTCTTTGTGTCATATTTTTCTCATATTTGCAAAACCTTCTCCCTTTGATTACTTGCTGAAACATTGTATTAAAATGTGACATGTTCATGGTTCAGCTACAGATCTGAGGATTAGTGATCATGGACATATGTTCAGTATGTACATAAATATAAAAAAAAAATCTCTTTTATTTATAAGAGTAGAATAGTTAACCAGTTTCTGTTTTTTGAAAATAGTCTGTGTTACTTGTTTAGAAAAGAATTGTTTGTGTTCATATTTATAAAGGAAAAAATAGTTTTGTTTGGGAAAAAGTCTGGTATGAGGAAAGGATTTATTCTGGTACGGTCTGGCATTCCTTTCCTTCTAGAGGGCTTTGTGTCCACATATTTCACTTAATTTTACTGAAGAGGGAATGATGAGGTTAATAGATGATTAACAAGTACAATGACGAGGCATGTTCAATTACTCAAGTATAATGAAAGAGTTTCATATGCTAAATGTTTCTTGTTATTAGAGTCAAATTGACCCACCACTTATTGCACACGCACTGCATGTAAGTTACAATCTGTTAAACACGGTATGGAACTCATTCTGGTGGAAACAAACATATGTACTACAAGTTCATCTAAAACCAAATTAAACCATGTAGCGGGTGCAAAGGAAACATGTCCAGTACTCATGAACTTCAGTGTCTCCTGTACAGTCGAAAATTTTAAACTGATCTGTCAAATAGTGACAGTGCATGGTGAATTGGATGAGAGAAGTGCTAGAATTCATCAGAGAGTTGTATCAACTGAACAATTGGCATACAATTGGCAATGTCCATCTATACCCTAGTAAAACGTCTGTGAACTCCAATGCCAGTTATCACAGCATTACTACAATGAATTGTATTGGAAGGTGCCAACTAGATTAATCCAAACAATTTTGATACTTAATTCAATTGGGAAAAATCTCTTTCTTTTCTTTTTTTTTTTAATAATAAAAAGAAGAGCAAGAGAACTTTGAACTGTTTAGATTAAATATCTAGAGATGTTGTTTTGCATTCTCCTGAATTCATGCACGAGCTAGCAAGTTGGTAGTCAACTAAGACTAATGCACACTTCAATTTCAATGTTTATGGCCAATAGTGGTCAGTAATGGAATCCTAAAAATTAAGATGAAAATAGCTGAGTTTTAGGCGAATGCAATTGGATAAAGGACCAGTATATCACAAGTCACATTGGGGTTGAAATTGAGGATGCATCAAAACAAGTGCTCTGGCATCTCTTTTTAGGTATGCACTACTTGTCCAGCAGCCTAGCAATACATAGCAGACACATTTTTTCTAATTGTTGGGTTTTTGAAAATTTCTTGTTTTTCTATAAAACCTTATGATCACTTGAGAAGAAAAGCACCACCCAACATTTTGTTGATTTCATCTTGGCTGAGTACAATGAGGGGTTTCTTTGCAGATACAACTACAAGGAGATCATTTTTTTGTAATATTTTACCTTTCAGTCTCTTTGGGGTCTTGACATGTCTCGGTGCTGCCTTCAATTGTGTTCTGTTCTTCCTTTTCTTTTTCTTTTTTATTTTTTTCATTAATTTTTTTTCAGTGCTGATAATATTTGCTCAAGTTGTAATAGCGGTTTCTTTATTGAAACAGGATGACTTCTTGCCCCGGACAGCCACCCCCTTGGAAGACATTTTCAAGTCGCTTTTCTGGTAATATTAAGCTATTAAGCTTCATCACTTCAAATATAGATCTTTTTGCAGTTATCAGCTCCTAAAGTTTTTGCTAACCTATGAAAAGCTAGAGAATGCCTCTTTCTGTTAGCCCGAAAATAATGCTGTTTTCATTTCTTCTTCTTTTTTCCCTTTTCTATCTTCTGGTAGCGACTGATAAGGCCCTTATTGTCCACAAAACACACACTTCAATTATCATTCAAATTAATAATCAAGATATGTATATATATATATATCACCTCTACAGGAGGTGAGACTTGTTGAACAAAGGGATTACAATTGTTTCAGTGAAGGCCTGCCTTTATATCTGCGAATATAGTTCAGAGGTGTTATTGAATGTGGATGATATCGTATTTCCTATTTTGCCTTTGGAGCATCAATTCAATTATTAACAAGGCCATCCTGCTACCCCCTCGTTTATTTTCTGTTGAGCAGTTTGCCATGCTTATTATGCCTAAGGTGTATGAGAGACACTTGTATACCAGAGGAAAAGATGCTCAGAGATCCAAGGAGGCTATATGCACCTGGTCGTCTCTATCACATAGTTGAGAGAAAGCCTTTCAGGTATATTTAATTGTCCTTTGTGCAAGATTGTTGTTAAATAGTCACACAACTAATTGGGTTACTTATGGTCATCAGTGACAAAATAAAAAAACTAATATTGGTTATGTAATTGACAAAAATGGAGAAAGTGATTGACCCTGGACTAGTTTTCTCTTTTGCAAGGATCCTGCTTAACTTAGTAGAGTTGTATTCTTATCTTAATGGCATGTCTCTATGTGCAAGTGTTTGAATTGATGCTTTTATTGATTTTGTAATACTAAGAACCAATCTTTTTGAGTTAAAAAAAAAACTACATGATGTTCATTTTTTTTATATGAACATGCTGTGTGCATTCTTCATGCAGATGTGGAAGGTTTCCTCCAGTTGTGAGAACAGCAGTGCCAGTGGATGGGAGATTTGAGCACATTGTTCTCTCATGTAATGCCACTTCTGACCATGCCATCATTTGGGTAGAGAGAGAAGCCCAAATGGCTCTGGATGTGAGTTCCAACGTTCCTTTACTTTTTTATAGTAATTAATAGCTGATGGCTAATTTTCTAGTCATACTATGCTATTTATAAATTATAATTTTCTTGGATGCCTCCCTAGAATCCAGGTTTCCATTCATTTTGGAGAGAGTGATGGAGACTAAGCTTTTGTTAAAATGAGCCAGTAGACCAGATTCCATTCCCTGACCACCAAACATGGTCTATCCATATTAACCGTTGAGCGCTTCATCTGTAGGAATTATTCTTTATTCAAGTTCAAGATTGTACTTTCCTGTGTTAATTCTAGCACTAACAGGAAAAATAGAAAGTAGTTGATTTTATTCAAGTCAAATCCCTTTTAGCGTGATCTTTTGATTCTATTAGTGGTTAATCTAGGATCGTAGATTAACGTACTAATATTCAAATTTCAAGTACTTGGCTTTCTACAAATGGTTTAACATGTTGAAATATTAATAAAATTTCTTCAGGTTTTATGAGAGCTAAAGTTGAGTTCTTACTGAGGCAAGTTGTTTAGAGCATTTGATTGAAATTTGAGACAAAACAATCTTGATTTTTTATTCTTTTTATTGGACATCTGGATTTGCATTTTTGAGGTTCTATGAGTGCTAAAGTTGAGTTCTTACTGAGGCAAATTGTTCAAAGCATTTGATTGAAATTTGAGACAAAACAATCTTAATTTTTTATTCTTTGGGTTTATTACACTTTCTACTCTTAAACTAAAAAAACAACGCCCAATTAATTAATGTATGTTTGGGAGAGGAAAGATTGAGTACACACCTAACCTTTTGAATCCATAATCTCAAGGTTATTAGGTCAAGTCTTAACCATTGAACTAAGTCTACCCTTAAGCTATCACTAAATTATCTACTTAGTCCCTGAATTATTGATTGAGTCTACTCAGTCTCTAAAGTATATAAATCAAAGTCTATTCCGTCCTTAAACTATCCATTGAGTCTATTAAGTCTTTAAAGTATTTAATTCAAACCTATTTAGTCTCTGAAAGGATTACAAAAATAAAATATATACACATAAGTATTATAAATTAGCAAAAGACCCTATTTAATTAAGATTTTGTTATAAAAAAATCTTAAATTTTTATTGTCTTTAAAAATATTTTATTTCGTTGTGTGTTTATATTAGTAGTAGAGTGTGGTTTCTCAGTCTTGCCAATAAAATTATTTGTATTAGATATACTGAAGAAGTATAATTAAATAATTTAAATAATCACACTTCGCTATAAATAATAATAGAAAAAAATAATACATTAATTAAGCTATAAAAATAATTTAGCGAAAAACTTAAAGACAATCAATCAATTAAAAATTATAAACAAAATCTGATATATAATAGTAGATAAAAGCAAAAGCGTAGTCATTATAAAAGATAAGTAAGAAAATACAACAGATAATTACTCTTACCTTTATAAAGGAAATTCACCATAAGAACTAACAACACTTTTTAAACACACAATAAAATTTAATTTTTTTTTTCAAATAAAATTTTAACTAGATAAAATCTTTTATTAATTTATAATATTTATGGGTATATATTTTATTTTTGTAATTTTTCAGAGACTAAATAATTTTGAATTAAATATTTTAATGACTTAATAGATTCAATCGATAGTTTAGAGACTAAATAGACTTTAATTTATATACTTTAGGGACTTGATAAACTAAATCGATAGTTTAAAGATTAAGTAGATAATTTGGTGATAGTTTAGGGGTATAAAGTATAATAAACCCTTATTCTTTTATAGGACATCGGAATTTGCATTTTAATTTATAATACTTATGGGTATATATTTTATTTTTGTAATTTTTCAGAGACTAAATAATTTTGAATTAAATATTTTAATGACTTAATAGATTCAATCAATAGTTTAGAGACTAAATAGACTTTAATTTATATACTTTAGGGACTTGATAAACTAAATCGATAGTTTAAAGATTAAGTAGATAATTTGGTGATAGTTTAGGGGTATAAAGTATAATAAACCCTTATTCTTTTATAGGACATCGGAATTTGCATTTTTAATTAATGTAAAATTGGAGTAAAGCATTCACCTCTAAACGATGTTAGCATCCCCCTCAAGCCTTAAGACGTCTTTATGTTTGAGGCATGTGCTGTTTGAATTAGCATCTGCACAATTGGGACTTAAATTTGTTTTCTTTAATCACTTCTCATTTTCCAAGTTTCCCCGTTGGTTATGCAGTCACTCTTGTGAGAAATTAGTCAACAATAATGGTCTCACTAGAAGAGGTGAAACAGGGCTGGTTTTCCATTTAGTTATTCAGTCACCGTTTATCATATATGATCATCATATTGTGATGTCTATGGTGTTTGGTGTAACTGTTCATTGTCCATAAAAATGAGAGAGAATGAACTTTGTAGTAAAATTTTGATTTTTCTGCCTGCTGTTAAACACAGTTAATGCTAGAGAAAGATCATAGTATGGAGATTCCAGCAAAACAAAAGATGGAGCGGCAGGAGACTTTAGCCAGAGAACACAGTGAAGAGCACAAGGCTGCACTACAGAGGGCTGTTACATTGGCTGTGCCCCATGCATATTCACCTTCTCAGTATGGAACTTTCAATGACAGCAACAACGAAGAAGAAGCAGCGGAACATTCTGACACATCTTCGACGGGATCGTCGAAGACAAGCTCAAAGAGGGAAACCTGGGATGAATTGATTGAGCGTCTTTTTGACAGGGATGAATCGGGTCACATGGTGCTGAAGAAATCCTGAAGTGCTGATTGATTGATGTTGTGATTAGAGGATATGCTTTTGTAAGTGGATTGAGTATGTTCATTTATTCCTTCTTAAATTATTTTCCAATTAGTTAAAATTGTGTTTTGGCATGATATCCAATACAAACCGAAGGCCTGGAGATCTGGGATTAATTTCTTTGAGTTATCAAGATATATAGGAATTTTTTTGAGAGATTGGGAGAAAAAACGATGTGGTGCTTTTGATTGCAATGAATAAATTAGGTGTGTTTAAAACCCTATCAAATGCAGCAAATAATCCCTGAACTAATTTTAGCCAAAATTTGACAATTAGATATATCATGAACTGAAGTTTGGTTTCATGCTTGATCTGAGGGCTTGGCTTTTTTAAATTGTGGCAATGATTGGTAATTTTATGAATGTCCCTTTTCTTGACAAATAATTAATAAAGAAAGAAAGAGAGAAAAGAAGTGGATTTTTGGAGGGATTTACGTGTAGGTCATAATAAGTGGATTTATTGTCCAATAGGTCCTGTAAGAATTAATAGTGTTTTTTATTAAACACTATTAAAAAGCGTCACTAATTGTTAATATCCAGTGGCAATTTGAAATCTTTGTTACAAAAAATGTCACTAATTATAAGTTTTAGCGACAGTTTAAAAAAATTGTTACAACAAAAAGGTGTCAATTTTTAACTTTCCATGATAGTTTAAAAAATTTGTCACAGAAAAGTGTCACTAATTGTTCATTTTAAGGCCATTTATAAAAATTGTGATGAAAAAAATCGTTAATTGTTAATTTTTAGTGATATATGTAAAAAAATGTCACAAAAATTTATTTTTAACAATAATTTTACTATAACTTATTTTCAATAAGATTTGATGAGAATTAAGTTAAACTATTATTGTATTTTTTATTTTATTTTTTTGAGAATAGTTATTGTATATATGCAAAATGGAACTTAAAGTAGTCAGACCAATCTTGTGATAAAAATAAAAAATAAAAAAAGGTAAATTACAAATACACTCCCTGATGTTTATTTAAAATATGATTTCTTCCTTATGATTTTAGAAATTACATCTCCCCCACTGAAATTTTTAATTTCATAACAAATGGCCCCTTTCATTAATAAATTATTAAATCAATTAACAATTTTTCAATGATATCAAAAATTTGTTTCAATTAATAATTCAAGTTATTTTATCATTTTATTTTTTTTAGTTAATTTTGGTAAATAAAAAATTATGATAAGTGAGTATTTGTAATTTTTCAAACTAGAGAGAGAAATCTGTATTTTAGACAAACATTAGGGGTGTATTTGTAATTTATCCAAAATATAATAACAATAATAAGGATAAATTCCACAGACATGTCCAAGGTTTAGAAAAAAGATTGGGTTTCCCTTCAGGCCATTATCTGAATTGTAAGGTATTACTGAGGCTCATAAGGCCCACTGCGATTCTTATTTTGATAATTGAATCATTTATTTTGTAGAATATTTGGTGTAGTTGAGGCAGGGCCTTCTTTTCTAAAAAGGGAGTTTTTTCAGTCGAACCCAGATGAGTTTTTGGGTAACCCAAAGGAGCCATTGAAAGCAGATGAGTGGCTAGAGTAGATAGTGAAGACTTTTAAGATGCTTGGCATCGAAGATGGGGGCTTGAGAGTGACCTTGGCGTCCTTCCAGTTGAAGAGAGATACAGGTCAATGGTGGAAATATGCGCGGGGACGCATTGGAGGAACTTGGGAGGCTTTCGTCGATGCCTTCAAGGACAAGTTTTTGCCTCCCACTGTTAAGGAGAAGTTGAGGGATAAGTTTTCCCAGCTCAAGCAGTTGAACACACCGGTGGCAGAGTTTGAAGCCACTTTTACTAGCTTATGTAGGTTTGCACCTGAGCTTGTAGTGACTAAGGAGTGTCATTGTCTAGAATTCGAGAAGAAGTTGAGGACCAGACTCATGTTTAGAGTGGTCGGATCCATGATTAAGGATTGTGGACGTCTTGTAGAGGCGGCGGCCCATCTCGAGACCATCATGCAAGCTGAGGAGGAGAGGATGAAGGGCTCTAGGAGAAGTCAGGATAGTTAAGGGGACGGTAAGAGGCAGAGGGGTTCTAACCCTCAGCAATCCTAGGGGGTTCAGTCGAGGTCTACCTTTCTAGTGCCTAGCTCGGGTTCTGGGAGAGGTGGTCAAGGAGATGTGACTTGTTTCAAATGTAGCCAGTTAGGTCACAAGTCTCCAGCTTGCCCACATAAAGGAGGAGGGCAACGAGCAGCTTCGTTTTCAGCTCATTTTCAGGGCCAAAGTCAGGGTAGAGGGTAGCCACCCACTTCGTACCAGTGTGGTCAGGCGGGGCACCTTAAGAGGTCTTGCCCACAGTTGGGTGGCATATCTGGTGCATTTGGTTCAAGACAGACACAGAGTCACCAGTGTGGTCACCAGTGTAGCCGCCCACTTCTTACCAGTGTAGTCAGGCGGGGCACCTTAAGAGGTCTTGCCCACAGTTGGGTGGCACATCTGGTGCATTTGGTTCAAGACAGACACAGAGTCACCAACCAGCACAGTCAGCACAGGCCTCAAGGGCCAATCAGGGAGCTTCTTCAGCTCAATTAGTGCTGCAGGCTTATGCTCCGAGGGGTGAGCAGGTAGATCAGAGGCCAACAGGGCGTATGTACGTAGTTATAGCACCAGATTTTGTGCCTGCTCTTTCACTAGTAAGAGGCACCTTCTTGTTTTTTAATTCTGTTAATAATGTGTTGATTGATATGGGTGCATTCCATTCTTTTATTTTGTCTGCATTTGCATCGATTTTGGGGCTGGAGTTAGCATAGCTAGCATCTCCTAGTTTTGTAGAGTCGCTTATTGGTGGTGAGGTCATCTTGAAACAGGGGTGTCGGGGCTGTGACATAGAGGTTGCCGATTGCCGACTCCCATTTGCATTTGTATTGCTTGATATGTCTAGTTTTGATGTTATCTTGGGTATGGACTAGTTATCGTCATACCAGACTGTTATAGATTGCTATCATCAGAGGGTTACTGTATGTACGTCAAGCGGTGACTGCTTTTATTTCTTGGGAGACCGGGTGGATAGAGTTTTATCACCGGTATATGATCTGCGTGGGCGGAGTGAACTCAGTTGTCTCCTTGCTAGCTTCTTGAGTAGTGAGTGTGATGAAATCTGGGTTGAGTTGCCAAGGGTGGTTTGTGAATACCCCGATGTCTTTTCTGAGGATCTTACTAGTTTATCACCTTACCGAGAGATTGAGTTCTCCATTAACTTAGTGCCTAACACGACACCGATTTCTATGGCACCATATTGGTTTGCACCTGCTGAGTTGAGTGAGTTGAAGGTTCAACTCCAAGAACTGTTAGATAAGGGTTTCATCCGCCCTAGTACTTCACCTTGGAGAGCGTCGGCCCTCTTTGCTAAAAAGAAAGATAAAGCCTTGCGACTTTGTATCAATTACCGAAAATTGAACCGGGTTACCGTTAAGAACAAATACCCAATGCCTCGTATAGATGACATGTTCGACCAATTGAAGGGATCTTGTTGTTTCTCTAAGATAGACCTGAGATCGGGTTACCATCAGTTGAGGGTAAGGGAGGAGGATATCCCAAAGACAGCATTCTGTACGCGGTATGGCCATTATGAATTTCTAGTGATACCTTTTGGGCTAACCAATGCTCCAGCTGTATTTATGGACTTAATGAACCGAATCTTCCGTGAGTTCCTAGATCGATTTGTGGTCGTCTTTGTAGACGACATTCTGATTTACTCACCCATTGAGGAGGAGCACGAGAAACACTTACAAGTGGTGCTTGAGTTGCTTAGAGCTCATAAGTTGTATGCTAAGTTTGGGAAGTGTGAGTTTTTGCTGAAAGAGGTTAAGTTCTTAAGCCATGTGGTATCTGGGGAAGGGGTGACTGTAGATTCATCTAAGATAGAGGCAGTGCAAAGTTGGGCACAGCCTAAGAATGCATTCGAGATTCATAATTTTCTGGGGTTGGCCGGGTATTATCGTCAGTTTGTGAAGGATTTCTCCAAAATAGCCTCACCTTTGACCACACTGACGAGGAAGGGAGTTAAGTTTGTGTAGAACGAGACTTGTGAGAAGTCATTCCAAGAGCTTAAGGTTAGACTCACCACTGCTCTAATTTTGATTACCCTGAAGAGGGGTTTAGGCTATTCTATATATTGTGATGCCTCACGAGAAGGTTTGGGTTGCGTTTTGATGCAAGAGAGAAATGTAGTAGCCTATGGCTCGCGGCAGTTGAAAACACACAAGAGAAACTACCCTACTCATGATCTAGAGTTAACAGCGGTGATTTTTGCCTTGAAGATTTAGAGGCGTTATCTGTATGGTGAGAGATTTGAAGTGTTTTCTGATCACAAGAGTCTGAAGTACATGCTTACTCAAAAAGATTTGAATTTGAGGCAGAGGAGATGGATGGAGTTCATAGAGGACTATGACTTTGAGTTGCATTATCATCCTGGAAAGGCCAATGTAGTGGCCGATGCGTTGAGTATGAAGTCTATTAGTAGTGTGGCTTGTATCGCCATCCGGGAATGGGAGATGTTGGGTGCTCTTGATGAGTTTGACTTGCACCTCGGCAAGTTCGTTAAATCTGCGGCCTTGTTTTCTATGGTTGCACAGCCTATATTTGTGAATTGAGTGTTAGAAGTGTAGAGGGGTGGCCATGAGGTAGAAACCCTCTAGGAGAAGATCTCTAGTGGAAAAGTAGAACGGGGCTTGAGTGTGTGTCCTGACTCAAGTGTTAGGTACCAAGACCGTTTGTTTGTATCGGGGTCTTGTCGAGAGGAAGTACTTCGAGAGTTTCATCATTCATGCCTTGCATCCGGGAGGTATAAAGATGTATCATGATCTGAGTCGCCAGTTTTGGTGGAGAGGTATGAAGAAGGACGTAACCGTGTTTGTATCGAAGTGCCTTACTTGTCAGCAACTGAAGGCCGAACATCAGAGACCAGCGGGTTTGTTGTAACCCTTGCCTATAGCCGAGTGGAAATAAGAGCATGTCACGATAGATTTTGTTGTGGGCCTTCTAAGGATTCAACAGGGTAATGATGCCATTTAGGTGGTAGTTGACTGGTTAACCAAGTCGGTGCACATTATAGCTATGCGTGTAAGTGATTCAGTAGACTATCTTGCTGACCTTTATATTAGGGACATAGTGAGATTACACGGAGTCCCTGTGACGATAGTTTCGGATAGAGATTCGGATTTTACAACTCAATTGTGGCAGAGTTTGCAGAGTGCCTTGGACACTAGATTGACCTTTAATACTGCGTATCATCCTCAGACTGACGGGCAGTCCGAGCGTACCATTCAAATCCTTGAGGATATGTTTTGAGGTTATGTGCTTGATTTTAAGGGGTCGTGGGAGAGACACCTGCCCTTAGTGGAGTTTGCCTATAACAACAGCTTTCAATTGAGTATTGGTATGGCACCGTTTAAGGCCTTGTATGGCCGACCATGTAGATCCCCTATGTGTTGGGCCGAGGTGGGTGATACACCTCTGTTGGGCCCAGACTTGGTGTGAGAAATGACGGAGAAAATGGCACTTATCCGTAAGACGTTAGCTACTGCTCAGAGTCGTCAGAAGAGTTATGCCAACCGTAGGAGAAGACCTTTTTCTTTTGAGGTGGGAAACCATGTGTTTTTAAAAATATCACCTAGGCAGGGTTTGATGAGATTCAGAAAGAATGGAAAGTTGTCACCTCGGTTCATTGGGCCTTTTGAGATCCTTGAGCGGGTCAGAGAGGTTGCTTATCGGTTGGCGTTGCCGCCATAACTTTTCCGGAGTGCATGACGTGTTTCATATCAGTATACTTCGGAAGTATGAGCCGAATCCATCATACGTGTTGGATTGGACTGACTTTGAGGTAGATAAGAATGCCTCTTATGAGGAGAGATCGGCGAGAGTCTTGAATAGGCGAGACCAGGTCTTGCGAGGCAAGGCAATTCCCTTAGTAAAGGTATTGTGAAAATATCGCGGGGTCAAGGAAGTGACTTGGGAACGAGAATTGGAAATCCGAGAGAAGTATCCAGACTTGTTTGTTGGAGCCTGAACATTTATTGAGGTTTTGATTGTGTTAATGAGAAATATAAACATTGTATATGCTTTAACTTATGAAAAATATTGTATATGTTATGGGCATTTTGGAAACATGTATTCAACATAAGTATTGTATATGCTTTGAGAATTATGGAATGTTGTGGGTGTTGTATCATTTTCGGGAAGCATTGTATATGTCATGAAAATTTTGAGAACTTGGACCCTAGTTTAAACTAGGCCTGTCAACGGGTCGGATCCGGCAAAATCCGATCCGATCCGATTAACTATTAATCAGAATCCAAATCCGAATCCGATTATTGAAAATCCGATTATACGTGATTCGATCCGATCCGTTTTACACGGATATCCGATCCGAATAATCCGATCCGATCCGGTTTTTTTTTTTTTTTTAAGCCAGCCATAAAGTCAAGAAAATACCAATTATAAAAAAAACATAGCAGCTTTTTATAATGAAAAGTTCATCTTGATGTTCTGACTTTCCTAAGGCAAAACATTTAGGCAAATCATCACCAATGCAAAACATAACATCATTTCAAAGCATCTTTCCAAAACAAAACATCACAATTTCTCCCCATGTGATACAATCAAAAATACATAAATGAGGGCTTTCACAATGTAGCATGAAGTAACAACAAAGAAAAACTTTTTAAAAAAAATATTCAATTCCAGCAAACTAAAAGTGAAATTGAAAAATATCTAGCATGTTTGACTAGCAACATCAAAATTGGAAACAAGTCTATTTCATTACACATGCTAAACATATGTTCTCGGATTTTGAACATACAAATCAAATCAAACAATACTAAGCTGAGCAGTCTAATTCAAAGCTTACAAGCCTAACCCAGCTCAATAACTCAACCTGATCATATCCCAGATAGAGTACAAAAGTCACTGTTGCATTCATGGTGTAAAAACAACTCAAAAGATGTCACCAGGTTTTGAGAGACAATGGAGCATCATTACAAAGCAACAAACCAATCACTTGGTTGCAAATTAAACGGTGATGTGATTCAGTTTCACTATCACCAATCATATCCAACTCAAAAAGAATAATTCCATCATTGACAAAAAAAAAAAAAGTAACATCAGCCACCAAAACATCTGCAGAAGTAATTTTATCAATGTATCAGCAAGTGTAAGAGAAGATAAAAACAATAATGAAAACAATTTTGTTGATAAAGAGCAGTTTCTTATGGTTGTTTAAATTCTAGAACAGTATGTCGTTATTATAGAAAAACATGTTGCTATTGTGGAACTAATATAGCGCTATGTTTATATTTTTATGAAATTAAAGTGTTATATATATTTTTTTGTTATTTAATTATGTGAATCCGTGGTCCTAAACCGATCCAATCCGTATTTAAATGGATTGGTTCGGATTGGTTCCATGATTTAAACGGATTGGATTGGTTTTAATTTTTCAGGAACCGTAGATAACGGATTGGTCCTGGTTTTACCCCAATCCGGTCCAATCCGGACCATGCTCACCCCTACAAAAGATGTCACCAGGTTTTGAGAGACAATGGAGCATCATTACAAAGCAACAAACCAATCACTTGGTTGCAAATTAAACGGTGATGTGATTCAGTTTCACTATCACCAATCATAGCCAACTCAAAAAGAATAATTCCATCATTGACAAAAAAAAAAAGTAACATCAGCCACCAAAACATTGCCACTGCATTCTCTAACTTACAAGAGGTCAGAATTTTATGACACACTTTTGGCACAAAAGTAAAACCAGAAAAAACTCATGAAAGACTCCTATGAAGAACAAGCTATGCTATACTATCTGAGAGCTAACAATAGTTTCCCAAACATGTTTGTGTCTCTTTTGGTCTTCTCTATTAGTTCTTCAGTATCTTCTCTTGTTCTTTGCTTCTACTACGATAACATCAGCCACCAAAACATCTGCAGAAGTAATTTTATCAATGTATCAACAAGTGTAAGAGAAGATAAAAACAATAATGAAAACAATTTTGTTGATAAAGAGCAGTGGACCCAAGTAAAGTCACCGATCAGGGAGGAGACTTATTTTGTTATATATATATATTTATATTTTTTGACAATTGGTAGGAGGGGAATAGAAATGGGAAAGCTGCATAGCAGTAAGACTCGAACCCAAGCATAACAAAAATAACTCCATTTCAAAATCACAGGAAATCGACCGAAATGGGGTCTCATATGGTATAGATTTTGACTCTTGTACCTTCAATATGCAGGCACCCAACAGATTTGGAAGTAGGCAAAATCAGCACAACCCTCTAAGAAGAAAAGTTATGTAACCACATTTCACCACAAGCAGTTCTAGTAAGAGATAATTAAAGCTATATACTCACGATTCTTCCAAGTCAATAACTTTAATAGCACCCACTTTGTTAAGCTCATTATCAAACCTGCAAATCAAGAAAGCTATTACCTTAATATGCAAACAGATTATCAAATTATGTCAGATACGAATTTCATAGATCACTATAAAGGCATGGGACAAGCCCCATAATCTGAACCATATTTACCCATCTACTTCAAGTGATTCGATTCAATTCAATCCATCTACTCATGTCTGCATTCTTCTACATCTGCAATTTGAAAATAATGTGACATTAAGATATTCATAGAACTAAACTAAATAACATCTAATTATTTAAAAATTTCAATATTTCACTTACTTCTATTTTTGGTTGATTCAATCCAATCATGGCAAGTGATCAAGGCCTCCACAATATCTGGAAGTAATGAAGCACGTGTCTCATCAATCACCCTACCTCCTACACTAAACGCCGCCTCTGATGCAACCGTAGTAGCAGGAACACTTAAAACATCACGAGCTATCCTTGCCAAAGTAGGAAATTTTGCTTTATTCACTTTCCACCAATGTAGAATATTGAAGCTCTCATTACTTGGAAACACCAACTCCTCCAAGTATTGCTCCACCTCTGATTTTTGATAGGCATGAATGTTAGAAGCACGTTCTTGGGCATACCACGCATGAAAAGCAGCCAAACTTTCTTGTTTCGAAGAACCGACAAGCAACTGACTACCACTTGAGCTACTATTTTCAGAAACAAGTGCAATGCTACTCATAGAATCAGAAGAATCACTCCTATACTCATAAAAAAGATCAACAAAACCATTACGGACCCTCTGAATATGCTTATTAGCATCAACACCATAAATAAGCCCAAAGTAGTATTCCACCAAGTCCATTTTAAATCTCGGATCAAGAACCACTGCAATTGCTAACACCAAAGAACATTCTTCCCAATATTTTTGAAATTTCACTCTCATTGGACCAGCCATCAATTGAATGCAATCATACTCACTTTGCTCCCATTTTTTCATTTCAAGTTGAATAAGACAAATATCGGGAAAAAACACATTTGAAGTCGGAAAAGTGGTACCACTAAAGTGAGATGTAGCATCAAAAAAAATCTTCAAGCACCCACAAATCACATTTGCTACATTCCACTCATCCTCAGAAGGATTGTGCTTATATTGTTTGTCAATTTGCCCTAAGCGGTGGAATGCACTTTTCAAATCTAATGCAGCTTCAAGCATTGAATAAGTGGAGTTCCATCTGGTAGGAACATCCATGGGGACTTTCTTTTTATGATGTAACTTAACATGATTCACTGCAACATCAAATTTTTGTTTTCCATAAGGAGACCTCCCTAAATATCTCACACTTTCTCGGATTTTTGAAATAAGACTCCCAATCACCTTCAAACCATCCTGAACAACTAAATTCAATATGTGCGCGCTACAACGCACATGAAACAATTGTCCACCCAAATGTAGTAATCCTTGGTCATGTAGCCATCGCTTTAAGAGTCTCACCATGACATCATTACTCGTTGCATTATCGACTACCATTGAAAATAACTTCTTATCTATGTTCCACTCTAAAATTAGATCTTTGATAAAACTAAACAAATGGTCTCCATCATGCGGGTAATCAATGCGTCTATAAGCAAGGATTTTCTTCTTCAACTCCCAATCATTAGTCACATAATGAGCAGTCAAACATGTATAGGCAAAATTCTGATGGTCTGAAGTCCATATATCAGTTGTCAAGGTGATCTTAGACGAGAGTTCATCCAAAAATTGATATAACTTGGCCTTTTCTATTTCATAAACATCAAGGACATCCGGCCTAACAGTGTTACAAGAATCAAGTTTGAACATTGGTTGAAGATTATTGCAAAATATTTCAAAAAATTCATGCTCAGCCATGTTAAAAGGATAATTATGCTTGATTACCATCCTAGAAAATCCATACGACTTCTCTCTTGATCAAATTTAAAAGTTGCAGCCTTAGAAGTAGATTCAGAAGCAACCTTACTAGCATTCCTAAGGGCATTTGGTCCTTTAAGTACTGGACATGTCTTCGACAAATGATTTTTTAAATGACTAGTCCCTTTCCTACTCTCTCCAACAAATTCCCTATTGCAATGCTTACATCTAGCTATGTCATTTCCATTAGGTCCTTTAAATTTGACAAAGTCATCCCATACCTTTGAAGTTAGTTTTCGAATCCTCTTTGTGGGTCCTTGAGATACATCGTCATCCAACTCGGCATCATCAGCAGTAATAGGTTCGCTATAATCCAAAGACATCTTTGGCTCTAAAACTCAAATATGCACTACACAAGAAATCAAACATAAAGGAGCAGGAGTTCATTTAAAAATAGTGTGCACCAATTTGGAAATTATATAGGTTTGTGTGCATGTGATCAATCTACTGTAAAGGCATGTGGAATTCATTTAAAAACAAAAAAAACTAATAAGCAGCTATCCCATTACTAAGTCTTTGCAGACGATTGTAGTGAAAAGATAAGCAATTGAAGCCTCTGGATCTAAACCCTAGCACCAGTTGAGGACAAGATGAGAAAGCGTAGAGAAATGTGCGATGAAGACCAATAAGACCAGTAATGCTAAGAAAATTCAAGTTGAAAGAGGAACAAGTCCCACAATATAGCCCAAAAGGAAGCAAAACAATAAAGACTTAAAGCCAACCCTGACCAATAAGGTTAAGGACCTTTCTAGATGACAACCCTGACACAATTCCAGTGTTTGGCATGGATTGGAAGAGAAAAGTGATTCTTGACTTAAATACTCAAAGCAAGAATCATTTTCCTAAATGAAGTACGAATCTTATTCCCTCACTCTCCCGTGTCAATCTCACATCCCTAGAGAAATGTAAACAATTTGAGCCAAAAAAAAAAGTTATGCACACAATATTCAAAATTTTATTATTTTCCATATAGAATTCCTAATGAAACCATTCACAGAATAATTTTATTCATAGTAATGAGATTCCATTCTCCCCTAAGGTTCCTGCCATCCAAACATATCCTTCATGGAATCCAGCCAAAACCCTAACCACAAAATATGGGACATATCTCTAATTCTAAATATAGCATGAACAATGTGCATGTGAAACAACAAAAGGGAACTGGCAGTGTCAAAAACCTAAATATGGCAGGAACAGTGTACAGGGCAAACAACAATATCAAATTGGACATTCAAATCTTTGCACCATAACAAGTGATTATGACATTTCATTTCTTGTTGACATCAACAAAATAAGTATATTAAAATAACAGTCATATCAGGTGTTAATTAGTATAACCAAAATTTCAGGTGTGCCACCAATCCTACAATATTGTGTTACCATGTGGTTGGCCAATATCAACTGAAAAAAAGAATGTAAACCAAAGACATCATAATTTGGGAATAATAAAACAAATTCCAAGATCTCACCCATTAGTAGTGCATGCACAAAAAGTTAATGGATGCAACACACAGACAAGCACAAAATGAACAATATCCACATGACACTTTCAAACGCATTATTTTGACTGAAGCTGGAAATTAGGATAAAATCCAGAGCAGGAAAGCAAAAGCCTACATTTTGCCAAGAACATCCTTAAAAGGTTCAAGTGATAACAAGTATAAAAGTAAACATGCACATCCAGTCATCATTTCAAGTTAGGAACACATTCAAATCTTTGCACCATAACAAGTGATTATGGAATTTAATTGCAAGATATAGATATATATATATCCACAAAATGCAGAGCATTGTTTGATGAAAAGTTGATTCCAATTCCAATCTAATTTTCAGGAACAGTAATCACAATTCATGTTGTCGTTCAAACAGTAGTTGTTATGGCAAATCAAAAATCAATTTCACAATTAACCTTAAATGTGTTCACTCCTAACAATCTCAACATTGTCATCAGTTTTGTGCGTTTTACTATGGAGCCCAATGTAAATGACCCATAAACAATTGAAGCCTCTGGATCTAAACCCTTGATTATATTTATTTAATTTTTACCTCCTCATGAATGCATAATAATCAAAGTATACCCAGAAAAAAATATTCCAAGAAAACTCAAATTCCCACATACCCAATTGAAGTAATAGAAGAAATATGAAGAACTGATAAAAGCAACCATCCAAAGAATTGGGTTTTTTTCTACATACAACTTTAAACCAAGAATCAGATCTGATACGGGTAAGAATCAGATCGGCAACAAAAACAGATCGGCAAAGTAGAGAGCTGATTACGATTAAAATCAGATACGGGTAAGCAAAGTGGAGAGCTGATTACGATTTGCTTTCAAGCATCAGATCGGCAACAAACACA